AATTATAATATTTAAAACACGAACTCGACGCGGAATAAAAAAAATAACGCGTTGCTTAATAATAATCGATATAATGCTTCGATTTAATAAAGGTGAATTATAATATTTAAAACACGAACTCGACGCGGAACAAAAAAGGAACGCTTCGCTTAATAAATTTGATTAGTAAATCTGATTAATAAATGCTGCACGGAAAGAAACCTTGCTTGCTGCACGTCCTTTTGCTACACGTATTTAGCTCGGCTATAGCACGTGCTTTACCGTACGTAATCTGATTAGTAAATCTAATTAATAAATCTGATTAATAAATTTAATTAGTAAATCTAATTAATAAATGCTACACGGAAAGAATTCTTGCTTGCTACACGTCTTTTTACTATACGTGCTTAGCTCGGCTATAGCACGTGCTTTGCTATACGTATTTTATTATATATATCGATGCGCCATACGTAACTTACGTAAAGCTGCTATACTTAACGTACTTAAAGCTGCTATACGTAACTTACGTAAGGCTGCTACACGTAACCTACGTAAAGCTGCTATACGTAACTTACGTAAGGCTGCCACACCTAACGTACTTAAAGCTGCCATACGTAACTCACGTAAGGCTGCTATACTTAACGTACTTAAGGCTACCACACGTAACCTACGTAAGGCTGCTATACGTAACTTACGTAAGGCTGCTATACCTAACGTACTTAAAGCTGCTATACGTAACCTACGTAAAGCTGCTATACGTAACTTATGTAAAGCTGTTATACTTAACGTATTTAAAGCTGCTATACGTAACTTACGTAAGGCTGCTATACGTAACTTACGTAAGGCTGTTATACGTAACTTACGTAAAGCTGCTATACTTAACGTATTTAAAGCTGCTTTACGTAACGCACGTCGCTACCTTACGTAGCGTACGTAAAGCTGTTATACGTAACTTACTCGTAAACTATAATTCACGAGCTATATAGCTTTACGAATAACTTAACTTTATTAAAAAACTTAATAGTTATAAAAAGAATCAGCTCTTTTAAAGTTTAGTAAAAGTAATACTTATGATTAAAGGAATTACGTGTACTAGCTAACTAAAAGGTTTTATAATTAAATTAAAGGTCTTTTAATTAATATAATATTTTAAGCGAAGCATGCTAATTGACTCGTGAACTATAGTTCACGGGTAAACTCTTTTTTTAACTACTACTACCGGTATTCTTAGCTAGCTAGTTAAGGTCGATATAAATATATTAATAATAATAAAAAACCTAAAGATATCGATAAAAAAGAATTCAATTGATTATTGCAATCGATTATAAACAAGTAAATATAAAAACTTAATAATATAAAAAAAGCAATTTAATAAATAAAATCAAAGTCGCTAATTGTAAAACTTAATAAAAGCGATACTCTTTGCAATTAAACGTTTGATTCTAAAAGAAGCTTCTTTTATTTTATTTTATGTTGATCCCGCTTTATCATCTTCTTTTTCTTTTATTTGTTTGCGCTTTAAAATTAATAATAAATTTGTAATTCGTTCGCTTATAAAAGTATTAGATTTAAAGTCGTTAAACTTATATATAATAATTAACTTACTTTAATTTTAAATAACGACTAAAAGAGTTTTAAGTTTCGAAATATTAAGTTTCGAAGTTTAAGCGGCATTTAAGGTTTTATAAGATAGCGAAGCCGAGTCCGGTATTCTATCAGCTTCCTTTTTACTTATTATTCTTTTATTACTTTGCTTAAGGCTTGATTTTTTTTTCGCGTTAAAATAATTTTATTAAGAAATATCATTCGAATCGTTTTGATCGTATAAATTTGCTATCGCTAATATTTAAATTAGAATTTATATTTAAATAAAAGCGTATGTTATATAATATCGTACTTCGTTGCATTTTATTTTTGTAGTTTATATAACGTTTAAAGCTAATCGATTCGTTCGTACCGTTCGAATTTGAATTTTCTAAATCGTTTTCGTTTTTTATATTATTAAAAACGTTTTAATTTATATTATCTTAAGTTTGCTTATCGAAAAGTAAATCCGTAGCTACTTTCGATTGATTTACTTTGCTTGGTTTTCTTTATAAAAAATATAATCGATTTATTACGACTTTGCTTTAAGAAGCGGAAGAATGCGCTTTATATAATCTTATATAATAATAAGTAAATCGATTAATAAATCGATTAGTAAATCGATAAAAGGTAAAAATATCGCAAGTAAATTAACTTACTTTTTAAATGCCTTTCGTAATTTAAAGACTTTCCGTAACGTAGCTATCGCATTTTAAACAAAACATCTTTATTAATATTTTAAAACTTATTTAAGTTTTTTTTATTAAATATAATTAATAAATATTTATAAAATCAATATTATTTAAACTTACGTAATTCTCGCACTTTAGCTTTTAATTGTCACCTACGGTGACCCAAGATAAATTCCAGTAATGGTGGTGATTAGTCATCCAATCACGTGAGACTATTTTATACGGATCTGGCAAGATTTCTGAGCGTGCCAAGACTTTTATTCCATGTTAATCTATTGAACTTTTTCCGGAAGAATTAAAGAAAGAAGGGGGATTAAAGTAATTCCGCCGGCATCGGAATTTTTTTTTTCCGTAATCTGTATCGAAGGACATCGACGCGTAAACGCGTTATATAAATACGCGTGCACGGACCACTTTATTTTATTTTTTTATAATGACGCGTCATTTGTATAGAAGTGCACGGGCCACTTTTTTTTTTTTTAATTGAGCTATTATTAAGGCTAATAAAGCCGTATAAAAAAAAATTACGATATGCAACAAAACCAAAAAAAT